TCTGTCTGCCTGTCTGTCTGCCTGCCTGTCTGTCTGCCCTCCTGTCTGTCTGTCTGTCTGCCTGTCTGTCTGCCTGCCTGTCTGTCTGCCCTCCTGTCTGTTCGTCTGCCTTTCTGCCTGTCTGTCTGCCTGCCTGCCTGTCTGTCTGTCTGTCTGCCTGCCAGCCTGTCTGCCTGCCTACCAGCCTGCCTGTCTGTCTGTCTGTCTGCCTGCCTGCCTGCTTGCCTGTCTGTCTACCTACCAGCCTGCCTGCCTGTCTGTCTGTCTGTCTGCCTGCCAGCCTGTCTGCCTGCCTACCAGCCTGCCTGTCTGTCTGTCTGTCTACCTACCAGCCTGCCTGCCAACCTGTCTGCCTGCTTGTCTGTCTACCTGTCTGTCTGTCTGTCTGCCTGCCAGCCTGTCTGCCTGCCTACCAGCCTGCCTGTCTGTCTGTCTGTCTGTCTACCTTCCAGCCTGCCTACCAGCCTGTCTGCCTGCCTGTCTGTCTGCCTGCCTGCCTGCCTGTCTGTCTGTCTGCCCAGCACTGTGATGAGACTGTGATTGGACCAAGAACTATGGAAACCTGTGGAGGCCATAAAAGCCTGATGGGTGCGTTTGGTTTGCTGACCTGTGCCTCCAGCAGACGTAGCCGTCGGTCGTGGTCTCGGATTTCTGTCATCTGCTTCAGAACGCTGTCCACTCTGCAGAAACCAGCAGCTCCATTGATTACATCGTTCCAAGAATTCATTAAAGACAATTCAGTTCCAACATGATGCAAAACATTCTGTGTGCTCTGCATCTATGATTGGCAGCATCAGAGCCCAGTAAAGGGTTAACCAGTCACACTGCCACATAAACGGTTAAAATAAATAAAGAGAAGAAGAGCCTCTGATAATTCCAGCCTCCAGTTCCACTGACTGGAAATGAGTTCCACATGCTGAAGCTTCAGGACGTCTGGGTCCACCTCGTCTAACTAGCTTCATCCTCCAGAACCAGATCATCTGCATGTATCTAGATCAAAGCAGCTCGCAGCGTTTTTTTTATCCTTTAATAATCCATCGTTTGGTGGATTCATGCAGAGAAACATTTTCCTTTGGCACGTCTCTCCTCTCTCAAGCAGAGGTTTTACTATTTGAATCTGCCAGACATGAATTCTGGATATTAGACCATTTAATCGAGCAACCCCAGCAGTTTGTGTTGTCTACATCTATAATAGAGCTAGATCCTCCAAACAGACTGAAGGTTCAAAGTTTCTCTGTAAAGAAATCAGCTGATTGGATCCAGTCCTAAAGAATCATTGAAAGATGTGAAACAGAAAACCCTAACACCTAATCCTAATCCTAATCCTAATCCTAATCCTAATCCTAATCCTAATCCTAATCCTAATCCTAATCCTAATCCTAATCCTAACCCTAAAACCCTAACACCTAATCCTAATCCTAATCCTAATCCTAACCCTAACCCTAACCTCTACCACTCAGACGTTCCTTCATTTCCCTCCATGGCAGCTCCTTGGCTTTGTTCTCACACTGGATGTCTGGATGTCTGGCTCTGAATTCATCCATTAACATCTGGATGTTTTTGTCTGATGGAAAGCGGATGAAGGGATGACAGACAGCACTATGGAATGGAAAGTACAGGTGTAGGTGGGAAGTAAAAGGCAAAACGTTGTCCTCAGATTAAACATTTTGCTGCTCCTGCCTCCATCAGTAGTTTTCATTCACTGTTTGGAAATAACTTTTATTTTCATCATTATTTTATTGTTCTGTTTTATTGTACAGTCTATAATTTCCAGCTCTGTGATTTATTTCCTGCTCCTTTAATCCTGCAGCTCAGAGCCTTCATCTCTAAATCGTCTCTGTTCTTCGTCTTCAAAGCCGTTTCTATGAATGAACACGGAGGAGGGGGAAGTTGTGGCCTTATATGGAATTATGCAGATTTACATTTCTCTGGCAATGCATCAAGCTGAGGTGGACTGGACCAGCATCATTTATTCAATGATTGTTTAACTTGATGTGACGCGTTGCTAAGAGGAACAGGAGGAGGAATTTAGAAGAAGACTATAAAATGGAGCCTTGGCAGAAGTTAAACTAAAGAAACTCATTGCTTCCCTTCATCAACCTGCGACTCAATCAGCTTTAAACCACACCTCCACCATCGGCATCCAAAGTTCATCTTAAAAGGCCTCCGATTCGCTCTGCTCCTGTGCGCGGGCGGCGGTTGCTCTGTGTGACATCATTCAGATTACCCCGT